TTTTTTTAAAGGGCAAAGAATAGGGTAAGAGGAAATGAAATGCAAAGCCAGCTGTTGTCGGAAGTTAATCGGCTGAAGAAGTGAGGACAACTGGCACCATATAATTTCCCTGATTTTTTGGGGCGAATTCTGATAAATACATGTGGCTTCCTTTAACCTGATACTGCTCTGCAGTTTTGATAACAATAGTCAGTTAGCATATTTGCATGCAAATTGCTTTCATCATCATGCAAATTACAGCTCATGGAACCAAGTTTCTGCACCTGTCTACAGGTCACCATATTTGCTCAGATTAGTCACTCTCCACACTCTCCACATGGCTGACTGCAATTTGAGTCCTGGGCCTGGCAGCTTGCTTTCTCACTTTCCTTCATTCTCTCTCTCTGGTGAATTAAATAATAATAATAATAAGTAAAAAAATAATTCTTTTTAAAAAGTAACATGTTAAGTAATGAAAAGACATGGAAAACACTTAAATGTATATTATTCAATAGTAAGTGAAAGAATCTAAAGTTGGGACCAGTAGTTAGCATAATGGCTCTGTTGCTGAACTCCCATGTAGTTGACTGTGGTTCAAGTCCCGGACCCAGTGGCTTAAACTCACACCGGGCGCATGTGCTTGCGTGCCCAAGATCCTGAGAGGAGAATGGAGAAGGGATTGTGGTGTGGCTATCCCCCCTGAGGGGGGATTTCTCTTTCTATCTCTCTGTCTCTCTCTCTCTGTCTTTCTGGTGAGTGTATGCGCCCTATAGCGAAAACTTCTAAAAAAGGAAAAAAAGAATCTAAAGTGATAATAGTTTGAAGGTCTTCATACTTTATGATTCCAACTGTACAACAATTTGGAAAAGGCAAATCCATGGATACGGGGGAAAGATTAGTGGTTGTCAGGAATTAGGGGAAGAGGGATGGAGAGTAAATCATACCATTTTTAGGGAGGTCAAACTTCTGTATGGGGAACCAGCAGTTAGCATAATGGCTATGTCGCTGGACTCCTATGTAGTTGACCACAGTTCAAGTCCCAGATCTGGCAGCTTAAAACTCACACCAGGCATGTGTGCATGTGTGTCCAAAATTCTGAGAGGTAAATGGAGAAGAAATTGTGGGCATGGCCACCACCCTGGTCTCTTTAGTGAACACACACACCCTAAAGCAAAAACCTCTCTCAAAGCAAACAAACAAACAAAAACTCCCACAGAATGCACATCCAATAAACCCTAATGTATTATAAACTGGACTTTGGGTTGTAATGCTGCTGTGTCAGTGTATGCTTGTGGATTATAACAAACATAACACTTTGCTGTGGGATGATTATTTGTTTACTTCATTGCTGGAGGACATGTGTGCTTACTGGAAAGAGAGAGAGAGAGGCAGAGAGGGAGAAATGGGGTGTGGTCATGCTCCAATCCCTTCTTCTTCATTTCTCTATCTCATTGGGATCTTGGGCATGCACATGTGCCTGGTGTGTTTTTCAATCTGCTTGGGCCAGGATATAAACTATAGTCAGCCATGTGGGATATGGCTCCCTTAATCACTAGGCCATCGGCCAGCCCTGGTGTGGGCTGTTAACAGTGGAAGAAGCTTGTGGGTGTTAGGGGCATATATAGGAACTCTGTATTTTCTGTTCAATTTTGCTATGAATGCAAAAGTGCTCTAAATAATGAGGTGTATCTAAAAAAAAAAATCCTAAGATTTACCTATTGAACATTCTATTTATTTCTGTACTCCAGTAATTTCTTTAAAAAAAAAAAAGCTATTTATTTAATTTCATCTGTTACTATTATTTTTTAATTTGACCAGAGTGAAAAAGAGAAAGGGAGAAAGCATGCCGCCATGGTCTGGTACTCGAACTGCTATCTGCCATGTGGGAATCCAGCACCTTTAACCACCACGCCACCTGCTGGCCCCACTCCAGCAATTTCTGGCAATCACGGATTTGTTTACTGTCGCAAAGCTTAATATATATATTTTTTAAACTTCTAGCAGTGAAGTAAATTTTGCCACAGGGTACATGTGCTTCTCAGACAGAGATACAGGGGGAGAGGAAAAGCAAGAAAGTGCACCCTACAGAGGATGATCACACCACAATCTCTTCTCCTCCGTTCTCCTCTTGGAATTTTGAGCATGCGACTTTGCACATGCACAAACATATTTAGAATGGTTTTCAAGTCACCTGTCTAGGACTCTATGTAACTATACGGTCAGCCATATGGAATCCTGCTGCCTTAACCACCAGGCAACCTACTGGCCCTGAGTTAAACTTAAAAAAATTTTTTTGGAGAGGTTTTTGCTATAGGATGCATGCGTTCACCAAAAAGACAAAGACACAAAAAGACAGAAAGTGAGAAATCACCCCTTGGGGGGATGGCCATGCAGTAGTAACCCCTTCTCCTCCATCCTCCTCGCAGGATCTTGGGCATGCATACACACATGTCTAGCATGAATTTAAGCCACCGGGTCTGGGACTTGAACTGCAGTGGACTATGTGGGAGTCCAGTGACATAGTCATTATGCTATTTGCTGGTCCTTATACATTAAATTTTTAAAATTTACTTTGTTTTTACATATTTTTCAAAGAATTGTTTTATTTAACTTTATCCATGTATTTCAATTTGACCAGAAAAGGACAGAATGAGAGAGAGAGTGAAAGTGAGAGAGAGTTAAGTGAGAAAGCAAGCCACCAGGTTTGGGACTCAAACCACGGTTGGCCATGTGGGAGTCTAGTGCCCTTAACCACCCTGCCACCTGCTGGCCCCTTATTAAATTTTTATTTATTTTTTAAGCATTTTTGCCTTAGGGTGCATGCAATCGCGGGGGAAGGGATGGGAGGAGACACATGGACACACACACACACACACACACACACACACACAGTGAGAAGGAAAGTGAAAAATCATCCCCTAGGGACAACAGCCAGGCTGCAATCCCTTCTCCATTCTCATCCCAGGATCTTGGGCCGCACACACGAGCCCAGCATGATTTTCAAGACACCAGTTCTAGGACTCAAACCAGGGTCGGACATATGGGCATCCGTAACATAACCCTATGACAACTGCTGTTCCCAAGTTGAACTTTTTCATGATAGCATGTGCACAGAGGAGCAGGGGGACACACTTAGTCATGCTGTAATCCTTCCCATCCTTCCAGATCCTCAGAATCTTAGGTGCCTGCAAATATCCCTAGTGTTTCAGACCCACTCTGGAATATGAACCTGTGACTGCCACATGGCTTTCAACTTTGCCAGGCACCAGCATTTCTGCTCAACTGCAGTTGCTGGGTTTTAATTTAAGTTTAAAACTATTTAAACCAGGGGCCAGCAGATGGCTAGTGGTCAATGCTGAACTCCCACATGCTTGACCTAGGTTCAAGTCCTGGACCTGACATGTGAGCTAGCAGAGAATGGAGAAGGGATTGCAGCATGACTAATCTCCCTGGAGAGTGATTTCTGCTTTCTCCTGTGTCCCTGATCAGCGCATGTACCCTAGATTAAAAAAAAAAAAACTCCTTTAAAGGGACCAGCAGATGGCATAATGGCTACATTGCTGGACTCACATGTAGTCAACAGTGGTTCAAGTTCTGGACCAGGTGGCTTAAACTCATGCTGGGTGTGTGTGTGTGTTTGTGTGCGTGCCCATGATCCTGAGAGGAGAGTGGAGGAGAAGGGATTGGGGTGTGGCCATCCCCCCTGGGGTGTGATTTCTGCTTTATGTCTCTGTCTTTTTGACTCTCCAAAAAAAAACCCCCAAAACTCTCTTAAAAAAAAAAAACAAAACACCATGGGAACCAGCAGTTAGCGTAATGGCTGTTGCTGGACTCCCAC